TGCATGAATTTGTGGTATTCAATTAAAGGTTATTGATGACTGGGGTTCATTATCAATATATATGTGAATGTCTTTTTCTCTGAGAAAATGGATTTTATTTACTCCTAAGTTGCATTTTTTATTAAGATTTTGTCATGTTTTGGGAGAAAAGTATGAGAAAAAGAAGCCAAAGGTTTTAATTACACCTCTGCTTTGTTGGGAATGTACTGGAATCAGATAAACTTATGGGGAATGTGAGTTTTTGAGACATCATGCATTGGTTATCTCGGTTTTGTGAAACTTATAATTATAAATGTCTTTGGTTGCCACACTTTAAGTCTTCAGAAGAAGGCAGAGCACTTGCAAGAAATGAATATATAAGTTCCATCTCTCTGCTTGGCAATACAACATTCTTATTTTGCTAAATATATGGTTTGGTCCCTAATGTTTGGATATTTTTTCAATTTGATCCCTGATATTTTAAAAGTTTCAATTTCATCTCTGATAAATTGAAGTTTTTCAATTAAGTCCCTAGTGCCACAAAATGTTAAAAATAATCAACAAAACAATAATGTAACATCAAAATACATTTTACTAATTAAGTTAAAAGTACTCAGTGTTTTAATTTAATAAAATAGACAATTAGACATAAGACTCACCCCACCTAAATAAATGGGCTCCAATCCAAAGGAATAACACCTAATTGATAGAAATCCCACAGGAAAGTATCAAATCTAATAAGCTTCACTACCTACCTCAATAAAAGGGCTTCAATCCAAAGGAATAACACCTAATTGACAATTAAAAAAAAATTAGAACCCCACAGGAAAGTAGAAATCTAATAAGCTTCCAAACAGACTACCCACTTAAATAAAGGGACTCTAATTCAAAGGAATAACACCTAATTGACAATTAAAAAAACTTAGAAACCCCACATGTAAGTATCAAATCTAATAAGCTTCCAAACAGACTACCTGCATCTCTCCATCCCTTAAAGATTCTATTATTTCTCTGTATTCTCCAAATAATAGGGAACAACAAAACCTCTTCCATCTGAGGCTGACAGCCCTATTATGAAACCAAGACATGCCAAACAGTTCAAAGAAATGACCTTAGATATCAACAATACCACAAAATGAGGTCGAGATCCTTCGCCACTTCTACAGAACATACAACATTGCAACCTGAAAAAAAAAAGAAAAGCATCTTTGAATACGATCAAATGTGTTGACTTTCCCATGTTAGATTTGCCAAGACCTGCCGCTCAAAATTTTTTTTCGAATTTTAACATTCCAAAGTGAGGCAAAAAGCGGGGTAGAAGGGGGGAGAGAGGAGAACATAACAGATGAAAACAAACAGTAAACGAACAATAGGAAAACCCTTTGGGCTAGTGTACTGGACCCAATAATCCTTCCTCCCCCGACAAAAAGAACATCCCTAAGCTGTAGAAGAAATGTAGAAATCTCCAAAGTTTAGGAACGACTGAGGCTCAAGAAAATAGAAGGCGCACTCCTCCTAACAGAGGCCATTAAGTGCAGCCTCATGTCACAATGGTGGTACAGATGTAGGAATAAAAGGCAAAGGGGATTTATTGCCAACTCAGTGGTCCTAGAAATAGGTATTGGAACCATCCACAACAAAGCATTTCAAGAATTGGGAGAAGAAGGTAAAGACAGAAGAAATAGCCTCCCGGGATGATTAGCACCAACCTTAAGCCCACCAGTCGAGACTCCGTCAAAATGGTGTGACCCATACTTGCTCATGATAATCCTCCGCTATGAGGCACTAGGCTCTTGAAGGAACCGCCACAACTATATGACCAACAACGCCTCATTCCTAAGTCTCAAGTTCCCAAATCCCCTACCTCCAAAGGCCTAGATGTGGTATTCCCAATTGACTAAGTGAGCACTCTCGTTATCCACTACTCCCAAAGGAAATTTTTTATAATTTTTTCCGAGTTATTGCTCACAGTGATTGGGATACTAAAAGGGGACAGGATCATGTAGGAATTCCTTTCAAAACTGTCTGTATAAGCGTAAGTCTCTCTCTTTCGAGAAAAGACTTTTTTCCTTAAAGAGGTGCTTTTGAATCTCACCATAAAATTTAAAGCTCTAATTTTATACGACATAGTACGCAGTATCTTATATCCGAAATTGCTTGTTTTTTATCAAAAATTGGCACATTAAAATGTTGGTATACTAATGATTGACGAACTTATAAAAAATGATATTTTTACATTCATATACTGTCTTTATTTTAATATTTAGTGATGGTATGGATTTAATCGAAAAAAATTCAATAGGTAAGGGATAGAAATTAGAACTTCTAAAAGATTAGGGCCAAATTGAAACAAAGAACACTCAAAGATTAGGGTCTAACTCCCAAATAACATATATTTAGCCTTCTTATTTCTAGCACTTTTCCTTCTAATTTAAATATTTTTTCAGATGACTACGTTTCTGGCTTATTGTTTCACATAAAGAAAATTGATGGCTTGGTTTCGTGTTGTCTTTTCAGACTGTTCATGAAGGGCGAATCTACCAATTGAAGCTATTTTGTGGGAAGGATTATCCAGATAATCCACCCGCTGTTAGATTCCAAAGCAGGATAAACATGACCTGTGTCAATCCAGAAACTGGACTGGTATGAAATATTTCTCAAGGCATTTGTAGCGATTTCTTAACTGGAAATAATTTCTGCTTTTGAAAATTATTAGGTTGAACGGAACCTTCTCCCAATGCTTGCTAAATGGCAACGGGAGTATACAATGGAGGATATATTGACTCAATTGAAGAAAGAAATGACGTCGTCACAAAATCGAAAGCTGGTTCAGCCTCCAGAAGGTGCTCTATTTAAATTTCCAATCAGTATTATTTTGCAAACTGATGCTTTAAAATTGTCTTATTTTATTTTTAAATTTTAGTTACTGTTTGTTTCTGTTCTCATTTATTTTTCCATTTATAAAGTTAAAGAAAGCTACACATTTTAAAACTGTTTTACTATTTTCAAACATTACTTCCAAGCAATAATGTAGTTAAGCTTTTTTACTGCCAGCTATTTGTTGGGTTATTTAGCTCCCGTTTGATAACCATTTCATTTTTAGATTTATGATTCTTTTGGTATGTTTTTCACGTTTCTTAAAAGCACAAATTTAAAGGTGGAAACAAGTTTTCAAAAATTATTTTTTTTGTTAGTTTTCGAAACTTCGGCTTATTTTTTAAACACATCGGTAGAAGTTGTGTATAAACTTGTAAAAGACAGAAAATAAAAAATAAAATGATTACAAACGAAGGATAATTAATAATATTATCCGTATATGATCTGATGACATATTTTTCAGGAAATGAAGAGGGAAGGACGGAACAAAAGGGGCTAGTCCTGAAATGTTGTATTCTTTGATTCAGGTGAGAATTTGATGCTTGATAATAGATAATTGCGTGACGCGATGAATTATGATTTAGCTTTTAGGGAGATCAACACAATTGAGAATTATGATTGGAGTTCCCCGTTGTCATGATAGACTGTGCATTTACATGTTGACTGATTAGATTAGACCCAAAAGCTCTATTTTCTAATTTATGTTCCCATTATTCATTGATTCTTTTTTTTAGTACAATAAATGTGGGGATGTGAGATCAAACCGCTGACTTCAAGAGGGGTAAGATGTCTTAACCATTAAGCCATGCTCAAGTTGACCACATTATTCATTGCATTGCATCATATATATTCATTTATTTTCAGTTAAGTTATAAGTATGGTTATAAACTTTCTATATATAGTCTTTAAATTTCTAATAGAACTCTAAATTTTCAAGGTTATATCTTTCTAGGCTTCCAAACATTTAATTTGGTGTCTAATAAGTTTTTGCCATTGAATCCATTAGTTTAACACTTACCCTCCCAAATTTCTAATTCTGCTCAAAATCAGCAACTAAGTTAAAATAATAGAGTTAGTTTGTTACATAAACATTAAACAAAGTTAATGTCAAGGACTTATCAGAAACTTTCTAGATTTCACGGGTTAGACCGCGCAACTTTAGAAGTTAAGGGATCAATTAGAAACTTTTAAAAAGTACATGGACTAAGTAGAAGCATTTTTAAAAGATTAATTGGGTACTGTGACAATAATTTTTGTCTTGATCACGATGACTGCAGATTTTGGTGAAGCCAGAGACGTACAGGGAGCATCAGATTGTACTTCAAGTAGCTCCGTTTTATAGCTTTTAACCTAGCAATTTGGAATTGGCAAGCTCTCAAAAAGCGAGCTTGGTTTCCTAAGTGAATCTCATGTGTCTTATGCATGGATGGATCTTTAAGATGACGGATTATTCTGGTCTGGTCGGGTTGGGTCAGTGTAAATGAATTATAAGTTTAAGTAAAAGTATTAAATGATAAATGTGCTTAGTTAAAATATATCACTTTGGATATGGGTTCCACGAAATGAACAAGATTGCATATGTTTTTATTTAATTTTTTACTGGTTTAGGTTGATTATATTTTATGCTTCATCTTTTCACATGGGAGATTTTGGGAGAAATTCATTCGGTAACATTCTCGTTTCTTGTTTGTTAGTTTTAATTTTATTAAGAAATTTAAATATTTGTCAACTATTTCTATTTTTTAAAAAACATTCTGAAAATTGTTTAGAATTATTGAAAACGAGTTTATTTGTTTTCAATTTATTTTGAAACATAAATAAAAATATGGTTTCATTTTTGAATTAAAGATTTATGGGTCGGAGGTTATACAATTGTTAAGAACAGAAACAAGGAACACGAGGATAACAAAATTCAAAAGCATCTCCCAACAATGTTATGCCGAGGAACTTGTTTTCTTGACATTTATTATACTTTTGCCGATGCTGTGGCAGCAAAAGGTTATTTCCAGTAGTGTTGAAGAAGGTCACTCACAAAAGAACTACATGGTATAGTTTTTAATATATTAGTGACTAATTTCATGTGACGCCCCCTAATATATAACAAAGTTGGAAGCCATCCACATTTTTCATACTTACTCTTCTGGAAAAGATTCCCCAATCACGCCATTTTCACAAGAACCACTTATTTAAATAATTACCTTCTCCAAAAATGACTTCAACCTTAAAATTTGACAGTTCTTTAGTTCTTTCGAAAGATAGAAAAAGTTTTTTTTTTTCATTTATCTGTCTTATTTGTCAACATTTTAATGACAGCCAGTCAGTAAGAAAATGAGTGTTAATCGATAAACACCTAAGTCTTCTTCTACTCATTACCAACCCTTCCACCGCAATCCAATCACGTCTCAAACTCTCTTAAAGTGCACAGACTCTCTAAAACTATTAATTGAAAACTCATTAAGCAAGCAAAATGCAAAACCAACTCAATCATTGGTTGGATATATGAAAAAAAAGTAAAGTTGGTTGGAGAGAATGAACACTCTATGTAGGCACCTACTTAAAGTTATCAAATTTTTAAAAATTTCTAACAACTTAAACGTCAGAGTTTAAAGAAAATTTCTAACGTTATGGGAGTACGTACTCCTCCGTTTATTAACCCTATAATTTTGTTTTTATAAATAATTTTTTTAATGTTGGTGGATTTCACATCATTTTTAAATGATGTTAACTGAATGATAATTAATGAAAATAGTATCTATATATTCCCATAATACTATAAATTTTTATTAGGATTTAATGATTATTCTATAAAATTAATAATGATTGTTGTAAGTTGATCCGAACACTCGCTAATAATTACAAAAAAAAAATGAAAGAAAAAGAAAATTTAGGTCCTATCTTGACTCTTGAATTTTTATAATATCTACTTTAGCCTATAAACTTCTACAAAATAGCTATTTTAGTCTTTACCGTTATTTTGCCCAAAAAATTCACCTATCCAATACTCACCCTCAACCATCCTAGGTAGCTCAAATACGAGCCCATCAAAACATTAATATATAATACTCAAATCCACATTATAAATTTGTTAAAAATAAAATAACGGTAAGAACCACAATGATGACATTTTAAAACTTCACAAACTAAAATAAATATTTTTAAAGTTTTTTAAAATTCTAAAACCATGCAATCACATTATAAAAAAAATAAACTAAAAATCTTGATGGCACTCCCATAGCTAAATGGGCAATCACGAAAGGAAGAAAATTTCTAGTACTACAAGATACTCATTTCATTCACTCCATGCCATATTAGCATCATATTTAAAATAACGTGGAGTTCACCAACATTAAAAATTTATTTATAAAGGTAAAATTGTAAGGTAGGAGTATATATTCTCGTAGTACTAAATTTTTGCCCTCGAAAAGAAACGAGAGGGATTAATTAGTAATTTTGTATTAAAAGAGGAGACGTGGCGTCGAATCCATGCTCCATTGGTTCCACGCTTGCTTGCACTTTACAGCTAAAGGATTCTCATTTTC